CTGCCCAACAATATGCAGAACAATTCGAGGGGCAAGCCATTGTGGTGCCAGTAGTCAGCACTGTGAGCACACGAGCAGGTCACACAGACAGCCAACCCATGGGCTATGCACTCAAGCCACGTGCTACACGGAGGACTAGGTTAACAGCAAACCAAAAGTCGTATCTAACTACAAAGTTTAAGCTTGGAGAGCAGACTGGAAGTAAGGCAGATCCTGCAGCTGTTGCGAGATCAATAATGTGTTCAAAGGATGCAACTGGAGATAGATTGTTTTCAAGCAACAAGTTTCTTACAGCAACCCAAATAGCTGGCTTCTTCTCACGCCTTGCTTCAAAGAAAACCCTCGAGAATGACGATCAGGAAAGTGTAGAGGTCGCTGCACATAAGGCCTGTCTAGAAAGTATTGTTAATGAGGCTGCGAGTGAGATTTCGCCTAAACATCCTATTGTCTATAACGCCTATAATCTTTGGGAAATGGTGTCCCAAAAGAAGCTGAATGAATTTTCCATTACTATTTTAAAGGACATTTGCACTTCCCTTGGTTTGACACTGCAGGCCTAACAGTTTGACGCAAGAAGCCGTACATCGACAAAATACAATCGCTTTGTCAGGAATGCGCATGTCAACAGTAAGGCGTTCTTGGAACATTCTACTGTCTTGTATTAGGATTTTATAATTCACAAGCAAAAACTGAAAACGAGTTAGAGACAGAAACGAGTTGTGTTGAGAAAAGCTAGGCAACATGTACGAGAGGCAGCAAGTCTTATCTCGTAGGTCTAGGTTTTGAGTTAAAAAGTTCAAAAATGTTCCGCCAAAGCCCCTTAGCAGATAACAGACGCCGAAAAACTCTGCAACCCTTTTATGTCTACTCTTCGGTGTATAGTAACTTCATTCCATAACTTTTTTATTCTTATTTATATCACTAAAAGATAATGGCGCACCTACATTTCACATTCCGTATTAGTACAATGCAAGCTGAAAAGGCACATAGAAAGACGTATTTTCACAAATTCCTTTATGGTAGTTAGTTTCTTACTGTCGCCTTTAGGGTTTTGATGGGCTGGTTATGTGGCTAAATGTACTAGTCACCAGCAGTTTTGCTACCTGTTATCGAAGGGTGGTTCACAACAGACTTTCACCTTGTATAAGGATGAGTAAGGATGAGAGAAATCATCTCTATAACTGATTAAGGAAATGACTCTGTCCACAAGAGTTTGAAGAATATGTTTTGTTTTATTTTTTCTACCTGTTTGGCACAAAAAGCACGTGGAATTTTTTTTTATGTGCCACAGCACAATTTTTCCCCTTTAATTTCTGATATGTACAAGCAATTATGTTTAACCCTTCCGTAAATTGCTGATTATTTTTAATGATTAAGTTGAGCCAGGAGCAATCGGCTTCTGGTTAAACCTAAAAATTCTGGTGAATAATATAGAGACATCGTATGCTTATTAGAATGTTTGAACCTAATCTTATAAGTAAATTTTCTCTTTATTTTTTCCCACCATATCTGCATACATTTTTTTATGAGTATTTGTTCTCCCTCTCCATGGCCTTATCGCGAACTCATGAACATGCATGACCACTTCACTTATTGTGTGACGTTAGCTCTTAACAAACAGTCCTTGAAGGAGGCTTTAGCTCAAGCGTTCAGCACAAGATAACCGTTGGTACATGGTGTTTAATAAGAGTTCAAACAGGAGATCAAGGAAAATGCTTTCAAATTTACGGTAAGGCAGACTTACTTCAATCATAAATGCTCTTGCTAACATTTGAGATCATGGGACAGAAATAAAACATTCGAGTTGGTTGCTTCCAAGTGATACTAATTTTAATTGTCAAGATGGCTAAATTCAAAGATAAAATATACTCGGAACCACATATTTTGAATGTCAGATGAGTATAAAAGTTTTTCGTCATTTCTTCTGTAGTTTATCGGTGAAAAACGCTAAAACCAAGGAGAAATATCCAAGGTTTTTGTTATTTTGTTGTTGTTGTTTTTTTTTTGTGGCGTTAATTAAAATATTTCTAGAAAAAAAACCCACCACGTTTCTAAGCTCACCATAAAGTATCTATGGACGAAATTTATTTTCATTATGTGCCATGAATTCTCGATCCGGCTCGATCTTAGTGCACATTCCCTCTTAATAGGTGCGGGGTTTATAACCCAGAAATAAGTGACCACTATGTGATGTATAGGGAAACGAAGGAGAAAGTATACAAGTATAAGCCCAAGATCATAACATTCAGACAGACTAAGACACAGACTTCAAGTTACTTAATCAAGAACTAAGCGATTCTGGATTCTGCAAGCCCAAGAAACTATGTCAAATGACATAAAATGTGGACGGTTGAGATGCTCATGTCCAAGAGTTCAAGAGGATGGAATGATTGTCATAGGAGGACACGCAGAGAAATCGCTGGAGATGAGCTACAATAAGTGCAAAGTTCCACTTCTACCATTTATACACAGGCGATCTCGCTTGAACGCAAAGTGTATACATCATGAGGAAGGCCATCAAGGAGTATCTCTTACGACGAGCAAAGTGAGATCTAGTTCTGGATCATCGGGCTGCCTAGGATGGTGAAGTCAATTAGATACAACGGTGTAACCTACAAGAAGCTGGACAAGAAGACTGTGACACAACTGATGGGATGGCTCCCCCAGGAAGGGCTTAAGGTAGCAGCTGCATGGAATTGTACGGCAGTTGATTTATTTGGCTCCGTCAGGATTAGAGGTGAACCACAGGCAAAGCGAATGGCGTCATCTTCAACTGCCTTAGCACATGAGCAGTACACATAGATTTGGCACCTAATTATAGCACTGACAAATTCCTGATGGTCCTAAGGCGATTTGTGTCACTGAGAGGTAACCCAGCAAAATTGATGTCCGATATTGGTACTCAGTTAACAGTGGCAAAAGAGGAGCTCAAGAAAGTTGTGGCATCTTAGGATTGGGATGAGCTGGCCGCATTCTGTGTGACAAAGGGAATGGAATGGAAATTTCTTCCAGCAGACGCAGCTTGGCTGAATGGGACTTCAGAGGCTCTTGTGAAGTCTGTGAAGAAGGTAATTATGGTAGCAGTTGGTGAGAGTGTGGTGACCTTCTCTGAGTCGCAAACTGTCTTCTTTGAGGCAGCAAGCCTGGTTAATGAAGGGTCAATTGGTAGACATCCAACATCACCTGAAGATGGGACTTACCTGTGCCCTTAAGACCTCCTTTTAGGATGATCCACCTGTAGGGTCCCTAGTGGTCCCTTTAGAGAGAAGAAACCCAAATCACTACTTCAAGTTTGTTCAGCAGATTGCACACATTTTTGGAGAAAGTAGACTAGAGTCTGCGATTGTACAGCAAAAGTAGCATACAAAGAAGCGCAATGTGAGGGTAGGCGATATAGTGCTCATCCAAGATTCAAATCAGGTCCAAGGTAACTGGAAGCTTGGTAGTGTCCAAGGTTTACCCTGGAGATGATGCTAAAGTAAGGAAAGTGGATGTGGAATACAAGAATGCCAGACCAGGTGAACCCGACGACAAGTACCAAGGCAGGGGCTAAGTCACCATACAGAGAGCTGTGCAGAGACTAATCATGTTAGTTCCAGAGGACAACGCCAAGGGAATCTCCGCTGAGCGGTAAGCAGAAATGCCTGTTGGCTGAGCGCAGACTAGAGAGCAAGTATACCACGGCGACGACATAACCTTCCCTAAGGGGTTTGTAGGGGGAGTGTTCTGCTGATATGTGCGGAAGTTTGTGACATTCCATATGCACGTGCTCGTTTGAACACTTTGATATTTAATATTCATAAATCGAACCTTTCAGTAAAGCGAAATTGTGATTAATTCAAAGACACAAGATGTAACTTAGAAGAGTGGATTCGTTGTGGAAAAGAGTGGAGAGTGGATTTGAGAGGATTCAATGGATCAAACATTTCCGGCTGCAGTACACATGCTACCGGGTACCTATTGCGTAAAATTGATCTGACGATTGTATTGTATTATTGTATTATTTTTTGCGTTCTCATGGTGATATTTTGTACTTTTACTTTAGGTTTTGAAGGCGTTGTAATGAATCTTTGAAAACAGTACTGAACATAGTCGATTGTAGCTAGCGAAACAAAATTTTAAAAAGGTTGACTCCTGTGCACAGTGCTCGTAGAGGATATAGTATGTAAACCCTTGAACGTTTGAGGCTCAAACATGAAATAAGAGCAACCAATTTGGCCTCAGCCTCGACCTTAACATCAGAATTCCTTATAAAAAAGTGGATCTGGACTATTTGTAATCCTTTGGCTACAGCAGACAATGACGAAAACAAAGTCTGGAGCAGTACAGTATTTTTTCTAAGAAAAAAAAACAACCTATTTAAGAACCTAAATAGCCTAAAGTTTTGCCAATAACCATTTATTTAAGAACTCACTTAGGCTAACTTGGGGAAATGCAGGTTCTTACCGGCCAGTTTTTTGCTGTAGTTAACTTTTGCGATCATATTAAAAAGTTATTTGAGCGAGACAATGACAGATCAGTATGATACCTTGAGTAAGTTATGCAATGTCGATTTTGTTAATTACAGAAGATGATAAAGATGGAATGATGTTACCAGCTATTGGTGAAAATAAGAATTGTGATGCGACAAGATTATTGTTCGTCAATAACTGACACATGCGATGATTTAGAGTCACATTTGCCTGTCCACCCTGAACCTCTTTGCTAGGGTTCAGACGGTGACTGTTCAGAGTAAGAGTAGGAGTCTGTCGCACTGGTTAACATACTTGAATACCGTTATTGTCTAAAACTTAAAGAAGAGGCAATGGTGAGTGTAAAAACGATAGAATCAATACGAGAAGTTACCATCTCTCTAATGAAAGCTCAAACTAGCCAATGTCATTGGCGTGTTCACTAAGATTTAGAAAAACATGGGGTGGATCCTTCAAGCATGCCAGAACTGAAATATGCTTTTACACCATTACAGTGGATACATGATTCCCCAAAACTAAATGATAGTA